ATTCCCTCACACAAAACATTTTACCAATTATTGTATTTCATCGACTATGTGATAGATCTTATGATCTATCTCGTTTCATTTGGTTTGTATGTTCCCTCAATGTTTTAGATATTTAGGCCTTACAATTACGAATTATCTGGTAACCTAGGAAAAATAGTACTTCTCAGAAATTACATTCAACCGCTTGACATTAATCTAATTAACACTATATCATGGGAGTGCATCACTGCAACTTATGAATAGTCTAGTAATTTATAAAAATCACATTTAATCTCAAATTAAGAAATGTATTTTATTTGTAAGGGTTTGTACTTTCCCGTTGTTGATGGTAAGGACTCCAGCTGGTCAATCTCTATTAGTATATGTACAACCTAAATGAATTGCTTCTAATTGTAATTTAGTTTCAAGATTTTAGTGTTATCGGATACTAGCTATCCGTGGAATCCAGAGTGAGCGTTTGTCCCTATTCGGAACTCATCAATGGAATACATTTTAATCCCCCACATTATTAAAAGCTTTTGACTAGATGCCAAAATAGAGCTAACACAAATATGCCATAAATGGACTAGTCAATTGTAATCTTTACCATCAATATTGGGAGAATAGAAATCCTAAAAAAATAAAATTCATACCTGTTTCACAAGCTGGTAAATATTTGAACTCAATAGCTTATTGGATGATATTCAGTTGGGCGTTTGAAGCGAAAGAAATTGGGTGCAATTCTAGATGTGGGTATTACTATGAATACTTTTATATCCAACTAACTGGTCACTAAGATCAATAAACGCCAGTCGTCTATTCCACTGCTAGCCACTGTGCAACCCTTCATACATGTTATATATATATATGTAAATTAAATACGTTTCATTATATGATTTTTATATCAATCTATTTTAGTGTACCAGTAATGAATGAAACAATAATGGATATGCCCATGAAATATTTAATTACGGAACCATTGTTAAATGTTGAGGAATTATGTTGTAAACATTTTCTTAGACTTTGTATAGAATCTTTTATTTTAGATCATTTGAAATATTTAAATGAATTAATTAAAACTACTGACAATAATGATGATAGTATACATTTCAAAAAGATTACTTAAAACGTATATTTATACATAAACAATATTTCTTGTCATATTCTACTGTTGTCCTACTCAAATACAGATACATACATGTTTTCTGTAAATTGAGCCCCGCACCTACCATACAAGGGAGAGAGAGAAAGAGAGGAAACTGATAAATAACAGATAAGAGCTGAGATCGGCTAACCAAATAATTAGGTATGCAAATTATTAGCACTTTTATATAACTGTTCTTTTGTCCCAGACAAAGATAAGATATATTCCAGACCATGACTATAAGTGGTGCAGTCCGGGTATTTTTCAATACTATTTGGCTTGTTTATCAAAATATAGATAAATTGGAATATGTCAACAGTATAAATTTATCACTACCAAAATGCAAATCAAGCCGTTTGATTCTGGGGATGTATGAATAACTACGGTGGTGTCTCAAGCGTTAAGAAGGAGGATGGACTAATTACACGAAATTTGACTAACTTACATATTATAACTTTTCAAAATCTTGTAGGTCTATCTTAATCTTGCCGGTCACTTTCAGAGATTATTGAATAGATTTCTTCCGAGATAAAGGAAAGGAATCTGTAAGTGCCTGTAAAGTGAAACGTAATTTTCTAGAAGTTTTCCAACAAATGCAATGAATCTTGTTTTTTTTTCTATTGACGAATTAATCAAACTATCAAAATACTTCAGATAACATTGTATTTTATAATTACTGATAGATAAATCCATTAAAGTCGTTCAAGTAACACGAAGCTCCAACGACATATGACTGTCTATTACTTTAGTAGTTTAAAATAACTACATTTTGTTCAAATGATAGCAATACATCATTTCATCTTTAAGCTCAGTAGCTTAGTGGATTGTGTGTCGTAATTTGGAGAGATAAGTACTGAGTTCGAATCATGGTCTAGAGATCAACATATGTAATTCAAGTACAAACTCAAAGATTAGGACACATCTCGAATCCCATTTCTAATTACACTCCCAAAAATATTATTAGAACTTTAACTATAGGAAATGTAAAGGTTTGTACATAGGATGGATATACATGCCAGCACAGATTGATCAAATAAAACTGAATATCATCCATGTGGGGATACAAGTCCTTATGAACTTGGAAATGTTTATTACTGGCGTTCATCACCGAAGTGATTGATTCCAACTGGTATCCACGACTAAACTTGATCATAACAATGACGACTAGTAACCAGTTTTTGATTTATTTAAAGAAGCTGACAAAATTCGAACGTAATTCGTGTAAAAATGCACAAATGACTTTAAAAACTGTTAACTATTCGTATGAAAAAACAAACAATATATTCAACCAACAATTAGTGGAACAAATTTGGGAAGATGTTTAAAGGACAGTCCAGTTAGTTTTTTAATCAAGTCTTTCTTAGGGTGATACAAATATAACTTGAAAAATTGACTGATCACTCACAAGTGGCCGATGTCATGACTGTCTAGCCTATTTAGAGCTAACCGAATTCTATCGATCAAGTTGCAACATGGCCACTAGTTTAATCTACTCGACATCACGTGCACAATGTTGAGACGTAAGGCGGTGGTTGGAAGTAGTTGAGAGAAAAAATGATTCCAGATTTTGTACTTTTCAGTACTCACCATCAAGGTGTACATGTAATCCTAAGGGCAGTGATGCCCCTGAACGATCCGATCTTTTGTGGATAGAATCGGACCAGCACTAAGACATATGATTGAATCTACCAGTGAAAACCAGTACCCTTAAGATCACAGGTAATTGTTGGTAACGAATGCAAAACAGTGAAAAACTTGGGTTCATATTTTCCTGTCAACTATCTCCAAACCCCAGTTTACGACCGTGTCCTGTTCCTCAAAAATCCAGTCATCTATGGAAACGTTAACAAACAATACATTTTCCTTTATATTTCTCTACAATCGCTTACGGCTTTGGGGTAAATTGGTAAAAATTACAATCACTTCAATGATTTGTGGGGATTTATGTGAATATCATAATGTCTAATAACTATGATAATGCATTTACATTAAGTCCACAACCTCAAACTGAATTCATATATTACCATTAAAGCAGTCAGGACACCAAAAGCATGGTCCTAAATACCCCATACAGATCACTTGGCGAAATGTCGGAAATCAGGGACGACAGCGTACCAAAATAATGTTTTTGTTTTACGTTATATACATCAAAGTCTAATAGGACCAAGCACTAAAAATAGTATGTACCTTACGAAATAGAGATAACATTGCGAAGAAATAAAAGAGAACATGGTCTTAAAATAGGATAAACGTAAAATGATGATTCATCATATAAGGTACAGTTCGTATAACAATAGAGCGGAAGACTTCTTACAGTTAAGTAGGTTCTCCCTACTTTTATGGAGGAAGTAGGAAAAATTTCCGCCGGTGACCTCAATTCTGAACTGTTTCTGAAGACGTCTCAAGCCAATGAATTGCATTATCTGTAATACCAACTACAGAATATTGTTGGGCCTGTAGATGTCAATCCTACGGAAATATTTCTCATACTAAGAAACTAAATTATAAAATGATCGTGTCTATGTTTATCCAACCACTTCAGGCATAAGAAAGTTTGGAAGGCGTTTAGACAACACCCTCAAGTCACCGATGTAAGTTAACTACAACTTAGCCAATGTACCAGCTTCATGATCTCTTATTGCTTTGCTTGGTAATTGAGAAAATTACTGTCGGTAATGCAGGTCTGTTGGCGTATGTTAATCTTCCCTAGTACCCTTTATCTCTTGAGAAGGCAGCATCGATAGAACTACTTGGTCACACGAAGGCATCTCACTGTCGTCCACCATAAATCACTGGTACATATTGGCCGTCCAACCTTAATAACTATATTTTCGAGCTAGTAACTACCCAACCGACTTAACCATCAGTGTACAAGGAAGGCACTGGTGTCTCACGCAACGTCAAAGACCAATTTTCCGGTATAAGCGCGACAGCTAGTACATCCAGGTCGCTTGAGAGAACAGGAAAGCGTTAAATTCGCATCTTTATGAGGATTTAAGCCACCAAACAATGCATCTAAATACATACATATACATCAGTGCGACTGACAACTAGTGACAACCAATAGCATGGGTTGTCTAGTTCGATTTGATTCAGTTGGGAACCAGATGTCAGACCACTACAAATGTTGACAACCAGCTAGCCACAATTTTAATAGCAACCAACTTGCTTTTAAGAGCGACGACATTCGCCCTCGGAAACTAGCTCAAGAACTCCTTTCGGAACATGATATTTTTGCAATGAACTCACAAGAATACCGATGTGATAAGTTAGTCAACTTCCAAAGACATAAGGCCACTCACAATAAGTCGGAAATTGTTAACTTCTCGGCTGTTGTAATGTTACATACCTCACAAAGCTGTGTACATTAGCTGATAATTAGAAAAGGAAATACGAACTATTTTGTTCACTTGATTTCTCGACTTTGCACGGACCTCTGCGAAACGAGCTACTATGTGCATTGATGACTGGCTCAGGTTATGAAACGGCCGTCCAGTATACGAACTTATACGTAGCAAACCCCTCTACTAATTGATGCACCACCAGATTTAGAATAAGTCTTGTCGAGATAAACATGAAGTACGTCTTTTTATAGATAACAGGAAGGTAACCGTTTCCCGAAATTTCATATTGACTACGTAGGTAGTGAGCCAACTACATATTTCAATACGCAACAACTAGCACGAGAACACCATTTAACGACAAATCATTATAATGAACTAAGTTCAAAAGACTATTATTCAACAAACTTCTGTATTTAAAAATTTATGTTTGGTGTAAACCAAGATACACAGAAAAACAAAACTCCTCGATCTCGTAGTCTGTAAGAATATACAGTCGTGTGACAATGCTTTACAAATATCAGATTCGGGGTACATTAACCGACCTTCTTAAGGACATCAACAATCGATATTATACTAGCCTGATCGACACCGAGATAAGCTTCGATAACAGCCCCAGTATGAATCCATCGGTTCTCGCGGAATAATTGCAGGACATTGTATGGACCCTTGTTGTAATCAGTCTGGAAGGCAAAAAGAATCGTGTGACAATGCTTTGCAAACTTCAGACTCATTAAATCAGCTAATATTAAACCGACATATTTACGGACACCAACAATCATCATAGGACTAACCTTGTCGTCACTCAGACTAGTTTCAACCAGCAGTTTTCCATTAATCGATATTCCTGCGAACTGGGATAATCTTCACAGGACATTGTGTGGATCCAAGTTATACCGGGACTTCATGAATACGCTCCGCAATGAGTATCACAGCAGGCTTGAAAAATCAACAACTTGTCTTTCACATTGAGAAGCTATTTTCCGAAAGTTGACTAACTGCCTAAGGAGAAAACAATTAGTTTTCAATTGACTCAGAGACATTGTAAATCATGTTATCATAGGATTGACAGATTGTGAAGTTACATCATGTGACTAACGAATTTCATTACTTACCATTCGAACATAGTTGCCTGGATAATAAACAAAATTACAAGAATAATGATAATGATTTAAGCATATTAGAAGAGGAATACATGAAACAAACACTACATACATCTTCAGACATCTCCAAATCAACGTAGCGCATTTTCACACGGTGGGTTCTAACCGTGCTGTGGAATACCACTGAAAATTACGCTCTGAAAACGGAGAAGAATCATCACTCACATGCAACCAAACACAACTACCACGTACTTAACATCCTTCCCGCGCAACTGCGTCATGCTGCACGCCACAACACATAGTTATATATATACACTTCTTACAATGTACACAAACAAAAACAAGGAAATGTATACGACTGCATGTTCAATATAATGAATTTTATTGAAGGAGCATACTTTATTAATTTCCATAACTCATGAATAAGCATGGTCAAAGTCAAATGCTGATCATGAATATCAACGCTTATATTACTAACAATATATATTCAAAGTATTTTTGGAGGGCATTATCAGGGAAGTAATCTTCATGCAATAGAACGATGTTGAATTGGTGAAATGGGACTGACGTAGAGTGTACATTGAAGCTAAAATATTATTCATTTAAAAATCACCAATGTCGTTTAGAAGTTGCAAGGTTGTGATTCCCAAACTCATCATATAACCGTATATCTACGGTTACTTAAGATAGCCTTTTCAACTCCACATAAATTGCACCAGAAAAATATGTTCCTATTTGTGTTAAATTGGTGTCCTTAATACACTGAAGTCTGATATCTCGTGGATTCTGTGGTTTTCAAACCCTGTGACTCGCCATGACCATATATAAAATGTCGATGTCCTCTGGTTTGCCCAAATATTGGTATTTTCTTTGAATTCCTAATGGAAGTATATCTGCAGTCTTAGAAATTCAGGGTTGAGAACATGTGAGTCCCTGTTTGAAGTACGATATTAGTATGCTCGTATTTATACTTGACGTCCAAAGAACTCCAAGTCCTTTAACTTTTGTCTTTAAATAAGTCTATATAAAAGTATTTTTGTTGGTCCTTGTCATTTTAAATTCAAATTCTGCTAAGATATTTATTGAATTTTATAAATTCCGAGATCATACTTGACTGGATAAACAAACTTTGATTATTCCACAAAAGGTGACCAAATGATAGTGTTGAGGTAAGTAAATACCTAAAATCGATAGCTATGTAGGTCTCCGACATTTACGCGAACTTATTCACTGGATCTTCGTTGTTACAAATGTTTCAATGACAATCGCTGGTATAAATCTGCTTCAACATCATAATCTACTCATCGACATGCGCAAATAGACGGAAAATACTAAGTTATCTGTTTGTGTACTTCTTATTCTGGTTTAAGATTATCCCCAATCACAGTAAGGCACATGACTGACCCGTACTATCAACAAATACTCCATGAGTACCCTGAGATATACCAAACAAAACCGAAATTGCTATGTGTAAGCAGCGATGTTACACGTTTCGTTACGACTACAAAACCATCTAAATTCTCGAAAGCGCGCCGACTAGCTCCCGAAAAGCTGGGGTTGGCTAAGAACAAATTCGACCATATGAAAGACTTAGTAATCATTCGGCCATCAAACAGCACATAGGCATCTCCCTTGCACATGGTCCCTTAAAAAGGATAGCAACGATTCGCGTCCAACTAAAGACTACCGACGATTGAATGTGAAAACCATTTCCGATCATTGCCCATTGCCTCACGTTCACGGTTTGGCAGCTACCTTGAGAGGTACAACTATTTTCTCAATATTCGAGTCGATTCAACCGTATGACCGAATTCCCATATCTGCTGACGGCATTCCTAAAATCTCTATCATCATTCCCTTATGTCTCTACGAATTTTTGCGCATGCCTTTCGGCTCAAGAAATGCTACTCAAACATTCCAAAGGTAAATATATGACGTTTTTCGAGGTTTCAACTTCGTATATGCGCATGTTGATTGCAAGTCTTGACAGAAAATCTTATTTCCAGCCTTTGGACCTCGTCTAACTGTAAACACTCAAAACTGTCATATCGTAAACGACTATTTAGATTTTCTCGGGCATACTATTGATGCTCAAGTCATCCAACCTCTAAAAAGCAAAGTGTCGACCACACTGGACACTTTGTCACGTAACACATCTACAGGTAAGGATAGTCCAATCGTGCAGAAACATAATCGACACGAAGACTTCAATAAGCTGCACAAGCTTTCTCATCCAGGCGTTTGAGCCGCCACCAACCTCAAAGCAGGAAGATTTTGCTGGCCTTTTATGAATAGAGGCGTGAGGAAGCGGGCACGCTACTGTATAAGCTGCCAGAAATCTATGGTGATTAGACACAACAAATGTCCCTTAGACTCACTCACAACTCTCGACGCTCGTTTTGACCACGTTCTTTTGGATTGGGTATGGCCATTACCAGATTCAAAGGATACTCTTATTTCTTAACTTGTGTAGACTGTCTCATTCGATGGCCAGAAGAAGTACCCATCAAGGACAATACTGCTGAAAAAGTGGTCCACGCCTTCGTCGGACGATGTGTAGCAAGCTTGGTTGCTGTTCAACTACTAACCATGGGCGCCAGTTCGAATCTGAGCTTTTCCGTTGTCTGACTACATTACTAGGAATCTCACGATTACGAGAGACCTCCTATTAAGCGCAGGCTAGCGGGTTGGTAATAGGATTTCGCCAAACCACGTGTGCTTCATTGTTATTTGCGAGTGGTCCACAATGCATTAACCCTCTTCCACTCGTTTTACTCGGTATTCGTAATGTAGCGGAAGCTGACATTCGATAAACTACGGGACGACACTCCAACCCCCCGGAGAATTCGTGGGTCTTTCATCATCGGCGGCCTGCTTGAATATCTGAGCTACCTGTTTCTGCCATCTGATTATTTCAACAAGTTATCTGTTTTTCATTTGTTTTAATTTATAATTATGTCCATTAATCGCATAACCTATTCAGGCGCTTTTATGAAAAGCCTACGGCCTTTCGCTCCAGAAGTTACGAAAAAGCACTATAAAAGACATCATGATGGTTGGCAATATGCGTTAAAAAGAATGAACATTAATCGTATGTCGATTCCCGAGCTGCTAAATTCTAACTGCCGATCACTAATCAACAAAGTGGACTATCTGCAATTCCTACTTAGTCAAAATATGTATCGTAATTGTGGTTTCATCACAATTCAAGAATCTTGGTTGAATGATTTACAGGATGACTGCCTTGTATCACTACGTGATTTTAAAATTTATCCTCAGGATCGATCGAACAATAAAAAGAGGTGTGGTGGCGGTGTAGCTACGTTTGTAAACATAAACTGGTGTCGATCTTCGTTTGTGTGTTTTAAGTTTTCAAATGATTTTATCGACTGTCTAACTCTAAGATGTCGTCCAAAACATCTTAATAAATACAAATATGTTTATGTTACCAATATCTACGTGACTCCAGTTTGCACATCATCTGTACTATCTGTTTTTGCTGATGAATTCACTGAGTTCGCTGTTACTGCCTTCAGTGATTCACTTTCAGTTGTATGTGGTGATTTCAATTCATGTGACTGTAGCTTCCTTAAATCACTAGGTCACCAAAATGTAGTAGATTTTCCTACCCGTCTGGATGCTCATCTAAACTTCGTCTTCATTAATGATGTGAGTATATATGCGACTCGTAAACGTGCTCCATTGTCTAGCTCAGATCACTGTATAATTCGTGTTCTACCTAAAGTATATGGAAAGCAAGGGAAGAGTACACTCCTACGTCAAACCAGAAAAGTCAAATATAGGAATTACACAGAAGAAAATATCCGAAATCTGAAAAACATGTTTCATACGACTAACTGGGAATTATTTACAGATGACTCACTCGAAAACACTACTGATGTTATCACTTGTTACCTTAAATTTTGTTTTGATATTTGTTGTCCCACCGAAACCAATTTTGTAAGTTTTGATCGACTTACATCTTCACAACTAAAACGACTACGAAGGATGAAAGAAAGCATGTACAAGGAGAAGAACTCTAATGAAGTTCGTAAGCTAAATGGTCTGATAAACCTAGAGATTAGACGTCTCAACTGTATGTTTGCTTAAAAACTCTCCAAGTATGTGGAAACTCTTTAAAGAACTTACAGTTGACAGAAAGTTTAGAATCGATAACCAGCTGAATGTTTGTGACTTAAATAAGTCTTTTGTACGTCAGTCATCTGATGTGATGCTCCCTCTATCCACGGGTTTAAAAACTAGCTGTGTTCCTACTTTCACTGAAACTGATGTACGAGGATGTCTCCAGTCGCTTAATTCATCTCGATGTTTGGGACCTGATGGTATCCCAAACATCCTTTTTAAAAAATGTGCTGACGTTCTGTGTCATTCGTTCACAACTATATTTAACAGATCCTTCTCATCTAATCTCATACCGAAAATGTGGAGAAAGATGAAGATAATTCCTGTACCCAAGAAAGCATCTGGTGATAAGAATGTAAAATTTAGACCTATTGCAATAACTTCACCCCTCCTCAAAACAATGGAAAAATTATTAATACTTCCACTCCAGCCTGCGATAAAAGAGCATATTGATCCATATCAGTTTGCTTACAGACGCAAAAGAAGCACTTTAGATGCTGTTGCTGTTCTGCATAACAACATAGTGTTCAACTTAGAAAAGGGTCAGAAGTATGTTCGAGGTGCTTTTCTGGACTATACTTCAGCTTTTGATTCTATACCGAGACAACGTTTAATTAACAAGTTAATCAGCGTCACCACTGACGGCTGGATAACCAACTGGCTATGTTCCTACCTCTCTGGAAGGGAACAGTACACTGTGTTTGGAGGAAAGTGTTCAGAGTCTCTGCTGTCTCATGAAGGTGTAGCACAAGGAGCTGTTCTTTCACCTCTTCTATTCTCTTTTTTTCTGCATGACCTGCCATCTTCCACAGAAAACACTTTTTTGAAATATGCGGATGATCTTACTGTACGTATGCCTATCTCTTCCTCTATACATCCCATAGAAATGAATGAGTTTTTGTCTCGTTTTGATTGTTGGTCTGTTGGTAATGGTCTCATACTTAATCCGTCTAAATGTCAAGCTGTTGACTTTAGCATGAGACATGAACGGAATATAAACACTATTTTGAGATCCCATAATGCTTATACTATCGGAGACTCTTTGATAAACTCAGTGTCGAAGGTCAATTATCTTGGTGTCACCTTTTCCTCTGATCTGTCTTGGTCTTCTCACGT